ACACCATGCCCAGCTAATTTTTAAAAAAATTTTTTTGTAGAGATGGGGTCTCACTATGTTGCCCAGGCTGGTTTTGAACTCCGAGACCCAAGCCATTCTCCCACCTCACCCTCCAAAAGTGCTAGAATTACAGGCATGAGCCACCATGCCTAGAAAAAGCTGCATATTTTTAAAGAAGCGTGATTTTTGTGGGGGAACTACCAAGTAAATAGTTTCAGATAAGACCTAAAAGGGATTCCTTCCTCAAGTGGACTGCAAAATTACAGTTGGAAGGGGTACATTAGTTAGGTTACAACTGCTAGGTTAAAGCTTCAAACACGGCTGTTCTTTTTCAACATTTAAATTTTCAGAATTGGCTTTTCAATCATCAAACAAAAAGAAACATTTAAAAATTAGTGGCATTGAGGTCAGAAATGTAATCAAGGAAATAGGAAATACAAAACATACCTCTTAGATCGGGGTGTCCAATCTTTTGGCTTCCCTGGGCCACACTCAAAGAAGAATTGTCTTGGGCCACACGTAAAATAGCTGATGAGCTTTAAAATTTTGCAAAAAGTCCCATAATGTTTTTAAAATTTTATGAATTTGTGTTGGGCCACTTCAAAGCTGTCCCGGGCTGCAGGTCAGACAAGCTTGCCTTAGATTACTGATTTATTACAAGAAAAGCCTGAATAGAAATGTAGCAAAAGACTTCCTACGCAAATTTGGTACTTTTTGAAGGATTTTCCATTCTTACATTTGTACTTCACGTGAAATGGGATGCATGCTCTACAGAATGTGAACTTAGGAATTCTGACATTGCAATGCAATTCACACAGATACCATTTAAGAGTAGCTTTAAAGTCAGCAGGATAAACCTGAGTTCAAACTGTAGTTGTGGCATTTACTACTGACTGACTTTGGGAAGTTACTTAAGCCTGTAAAGCCCAAGTTTGCTTACATCAAAAAAAAAAAAAAAAAAAAAAAAAAAAAAAAAAAAAAAAAAAAAAAAAAAAAAAAAAAAAAAAAAAGAGAGAGAGAGAGATTAACATTCCCAGAATTGCAGATTAACTACACATTGGACATATACCGCATTGCTTCATATGTGGTCCTAATTTTCTATAAAAAATGTTCTTGTGTCATCTTATGTCAATTCAAACATTTGTTTTTAAATCTAAAAGATTTGAGAAGTGCTGAATTGAGATAATTCGTATCTGTAGTAAGTATGCATCTCAGAAGCAAGGTTTCTGAGAAACTAAAATTTGCTTAGACCAGGGAATGGCAAACTTCCTAAAAAGGGCCAGACAGTAATGTTTTCGGTCTTATGCGCCACAGATGTTCTCTGTAGCATATTCTTTTTCTTATAACTTTTTAAAATTTAAAATCTCAGCTCTCGTGTTGTACAAAAATAGAGCACAGTCTAGATTTGGCCAGGAGGCTATAGTTACTGATCTCTTTCTTAGAAATTTCTAATAAAAATTAGCAGAAATCTAGTAATAGTGACATCTATGTTGAAAATAAGTTAACACCATACAGCTCTTCTATATGTCAGGCATATAGTTGTAACCCTTACAACAGAAATAAAAGATATCATCAAACACGGAAGACACAAGGCAAACTGAGGAATAGAGAGGTCAAGCATTTTGTCTGCAGTGATGCAACTAGCAAATGGCTGCACTGAACAAGAAAGTAATTCTACAGTTGGCTTTTTTTTTTTTTTTTTGAGATGGAA